ACATCACCACCATTTGCAGGCAATTTCTTTACCAAATCGTCATGCAACTGCCTAGCCTTTTCACAAATGATCGCTTGAGAGATGCTATCTCCTGCTATCTTTTTTTCATTTATCCACACCAATAACAATCTCTCAACATTTTCTAACACTTGCGGTCCTTGATTGCCGTTTTCCTGGTCACTATAGTAGAGATGGTTGATTGGGGTTTATTATACAACCTAACCAGCTCCGACACACACACTCCACTTTCATACTTAGCAATTACCTCTTTCTTCATTTCATAAGTCATTAGCGACTTTTTTCTCGAAGGGTTGGCACTAGAAGCTTTCTTCGGGCCCATGGTGACTTATTTTGCAGAAACAAGGACCAAACACAGTGATAATATGGATAATATGGAATGTACCAAATGTATCCTTAGAAGTGCACACACTGGCTGGGTTGTAAACACTGGCACACACAGTTCAGTTCAGGCCACACGTGGACACGTCTCATACGAATCGTATCGAATACCGGGTTTTCAATCGAATACCGAGGAAATTTTTTTGCGATATAATGCATCGAATACCGGATTTATCGAATACCGATGCCATCGAATACCAGGGGTCCACTGTATATACCAAGCAAGAGGAAACACTTTGGTATAAAACTGTTTGTACTCTGTGACTGTGACAGTGGCCTGGTATTGGATATTAATGTATACACGGGAAGTAAAACATTGAAAGATACCAGGATGTTATTGGGTATCTCAGGTGACGTAGTGAGAAACATGAAGGCACCTTATCTTGGTAAGAGGCATACATTATATGCTGATAACTGGTACACAAGCTCTTTACCCAGTGATTTCTTGTGAGTGAACATGACAGATGTGTGTGGCACAGTGCGTTCTAATTGTAAACACATGCCCAGGTTCAACGCAGGCACTCGTGCTGGTGAGGTGCAGGTGTTTACTGCCAATGACATCATGGCATTACGGTGGCATGACAAACAAGATATCACATTGCTGACAACCATTCACCCTAACAAAATGAAAAACAGTGGCAAAATTGATAGAGTGACTAATGAACGTATTTGAAAACCAGTGTTACAAAAAACGCGATTCTAAAAGCTTAGAGATCTCCAGTGAATACTAGAAAGGACTGCCCTTCTAGCATCCAGCCTGTTACTGGGTTTTCGTAACAAGTAGTCAGTATCCTTGTCCAATTATCCATTAGAAATCAGTAATATTCAATAGTGCTTCAGGATTACAACTGGTAGGCTACTAACTAGAGAAATTAAAATTTAATAAATTTATTAAGTATTAAGTTGTCTAGAGGTATATTATCAAATTAAATTAATCACAGTAATCAAAATAAAATCAATCTCTCGAGTTCAATATTATTGTGCTGAAAGCACATATCACATTTATAATTCTTAAGTACCTTCTGGTACATTAACATTTAATAAGATATTACAAATATGTACAAGTAAGTGTGTATGTGTGTAAGTGCTCTAAGTAGTTCGCTATGTCTCACGACTCGACTAGACTTAAACAAGTGACTGACAAAGTCCTCTAATAAACTAACTTCTTGACCAACTGGCAACCAGAACAGTCTGTTTGAACAATGAAAAGAATGCTAAGCCCAATAGCCATATAACAAGCGACTGCGACACAATCAGGATCAAGGAGATAACATAACGACACTAAGTAGGGACCATCAGCAGATCCTCCACAAAAGTTACAAAACTCCCATACTACTGAATCTAAGTTCAGCATAGGAAAAACCCGACTGTTACAATACACAGAAACCAGTACAAAATTAGGTCAGAAGCTATAGCTAAGGACCTGAGATGTTCAGAGTGTCTAAGCGACACACAACCTCAGTACAACGTCGAAAATCACTAAGTCTATACAATGTTCTGTGAACAGAGTTCTACAGAACTAACAAGAATAATGAGACAGACAATCTGTCCAACCACCAAGCGAGTCTAGAGCAGACTCAATACTTCACGAGAGGTGAGAACACCCCCCCCCCCCTCGATCACGTGATAGCCCCGTGGACAGCACAGCTCAGAAGCCGGCAGTATAACGAGCGACAAGCGATAATTACAGTAGTTTGACAATCAAGACTTGAACTGAGCACATATTATGTACATCCTAACAACAAAAGTAAAATAACAATATAAAGCAATACATTTACGATTTAGCTATTATCGCAAATATAAGCAATATAAAATTATATGAAAAGATAATATGCATTATATATAATAATCATTGTAACCCATTCAGGGGTTGCAACAACCAGTAACAGTGATTGATTATACACAAAACATGCGTTTGGTTGACAAATGTGACATGCAGATTGGCTTTGTCGATTGTGTTCGTAAGAGTTACAATTGATACATGAAACTTTTCTTCCATCTCATGGACATTTCAATGCTCAATGCATATAGTATGTACCAAATAAAGACCGGCAATATCACACTGTATGGTGAATTTTGTTTGTCTGTTAGACAACTCATAATGAAGTACCAGGTAACAACACCTGCTATACAAAACATCCTCGATCTCCTCAGGAAATACCCAAGCGTTTGAGGAAGGAAGGTGATCACTTCATAATACAGCTTCCTGCAACTAAGAAGAAATTTGCTCAGAAGAGATGTGTTGTCTGTGCACAAACAAAACGATGGCAACAAAGACACAAAGACACTCGGTTTATGTATGAGGAATGTAAGGTACCTCTGTGCATGATACCTTGTTTCAAGGGCTTCCACAGGCTGCAGTAGTTCTAGAAACATGTCCAGTGACTGTACATATGTAAATATATAATAGAACTTTAGTATTATACAACATTTGTGCATGTTTATTGTTGTTTGGAGGGATATGTTGTGTATCTTTATAGGTATATGCTTCTAAGCTGTTGTGTTCTGAGCACCTCTGCAAAAGGTGATGAATGTTGCAGCGAGGAGAAGGCTGGAGGCAGTGGAGATGTCATGTCTGAGGGCAATGTGTGGTGTGAATATAATGCAGAGAATTCGTAGTTTGGAAGTAAGGAGGCAGTGATTATGTGTGAGTGAGATGAAAGAGTTGAATGATGATGAAAGTATTTTCTTTTTGGGTCACCCTGCCTCGGTGGGAGACGGCCAACTTGTTAAAAAAAAAAAAAATACTGGTGAACAATGTTATAATAGTAACTTTTGTGTGGTTATTGTGGTCAATACAGTGAGTGTATATATATATATATACATTATATACATTATTGGTCTCACAGGCTGCAAATGTTACTAGAAAAAGAAAAAAATAGAAAAGACAAGAAAAAAGTATAAAAAAACGTAAAATAAAGAAATGCGATTTTGTGGAAGTCGCTGATGTTGCCGCCACCCGGTCATTTTGGGTCAACTTCCCTCCTCTATATCTCGGTAAGTACTGATTAGAAAATTTTTTTGTTTGTTTTATTACTTCACAAAAATATCTTTAATTCTGTAAGATTTTTTTTTTTTTTTTTTTTTTTTTTTTTTTTTTTTTTTTTTTTTTTTTTTTCAAAAATTTCTTGGGCTCTGGGGCACCCCTTGAAATTATGCCTCTGGACCCTAAAAGGGTTAACCCTTTGACTGTTTTGGTCGTATATATACGTCTTACGAGCCAGTGTTTCAGACATATATATACTCAATAATTCTAGCGGCTTCAAATCAAGCGGAAGAAAGCTGGTAGGCCCACATGTGAGAGAATGGGTCTTTGTGGTCAGTGTGCACCACATAAAAAAAATCCTGCAGCACACAGTGCGTAATGAGAAAAAAAAAACCTCTGATCGTTTTTTTGGATTAAAACTCCGACTTTGAGGTGTATTTTCGTATAGTATTTATCGATGTATTTGCGTTTTCATGGTCTTAGGTGATAAAATGGAAAACATATTACAGAAATAGAGATGATTTTCATTACTTTGACGATGAAAACGACCTTGAAACTGAGCTCAAATTAGCAGAAATGTTTGATTTTTACCAATGTTTAGGAGTAAACAAACCACACCACACGTCCAATACACGTCAACTGGGGAGTCTAATATTCTTTCACTAGTGCACTGATATTATTTATACCATTTTTACAATAATGCAGTAGTCTGCATAACAGTAAATTTTGTATTTTTTTGTATGAATAAAAAATCAAAATAGAAAGCAATAATATAAGAGGGGCCTAGAGATGTGACTAATGAACAGAGGATATGTTATTTTAGTGCCAAGAATGTCTACCTTGTTTATTCTGGACCCTATTTGAAATTGGCATCTTTTTAGTTTGCGTGAAATTGGCCAAATTGCCAATTTCTGACCACAATATTGGGTAGTCCAAATTGGTAAATGGGAGGTTTCTTGTACTCAGTGGATAGATAAAATTGAGTTCTAAAGAAATAGCTATGAATTTGGTCAACTGGAACAACGGAATTGGCTGAAAATAGGGCTCAAAGTCGGCGAAATCGCCGATACGAACTTTTGGTGTCATTACCATAGGAAAAAGATTCTCTATCATTTCATAAGAGATTTTTTTAAAAAATTTAGCGACATAGGATGACAGTTTCAGAAAGGGGCCTGAAACAGTCAAAGGGTTAAACTGCATCTGCCACTTCTCCAACCACTGCATCAGTCTATTCAAATCATCCTGGAGTGCTCTCATGTCCTCATTAGAATGAATTTGTGATCTGAATACAACTCCCTTATGTGTTTCAATGCAGATACTTTTGCTCTGAGATATATCTTTCTTGATATCACATTGTCTTCTAATTGCTTCAGTTTCTATTCTGTCTATATATTCACATCACACATTGATCTCAGAGAGGACATTTCCACTGTAGAATCTCCTCATTGCTGCAACATTGAAACCATGTTTCACATTCACACATAAGCATCTGTTCTGTGATATTATTTTCCCTTTCTAAAGTCATTCTTGTGCAGTCATACATTGTTTCTCTAGTTGTTATCACAGATTATGCCACAAACTTTCTCTGGTATGAATATACTTTCAATACTTCCAGATGTCCTTGAAAAGTACAAGGTCAAGTTGGACAAACTGAAGCCCACTGTCGAGCGTGTTCTTGAAGAAGAACTGGAAGAGAAAAAGTTGCTATCAATGGAACAAGCTATCAAAACAATGGAGAATAAACTTGCCGGAAATGTGGAAGTGAAGCCTGATAGAAAGTGGTTCCAAACTGAAGATGAAATAAAGGCTAAAAAGAGTAAGTTTGAAATTGTACCAAATATTCAGAATGTTCATTCTGAATATTTCTGAATTATGGGATTCAACTATAGTTATAAGTTTTAACCCTTTGAGGTTTCGGCCGTACTAGTACGGCTTACGACCCAGGGTTTTTGGCATACTAGTATGCCTAAATTCTAGCGCCCTCAAATCTGGTGAGAGAAAGCTGGTAGGCCTACATATGAAAGAATGGGTCTATGTGGTCAGTGTGCGCAGTACAAAAAAAAACCCTGCAGCACACAGTGCGTAATGAGAAAAAAAAAACTGACTGTGTTTTTGGAATAAAACAGCAACTTTGTACTGTATTTTCGTATGGTATTTATTGTTGTATTCTACTTTTCTTGGTCTCATTTTATAGAATGGAAGACATATTGCAAAAATTGAGATGATTTTGACTGGTTTTACAATGAAAAGTACCTTGAAATTGAGCGCAAAGTAGCAGAAATATTAGATTTTTATCAAAGTTCAAAAGTAAACAAATCGTGCCATGCGTCCAATACACGTCAACTAGCGAGTCTTATATTCTTTCACAAGTACGCTGATATTATTTATACCATTTCTACACTAATGCAGCAGTCTGCATAACAGTAAATCTTCTATTTTTTGTAATAATAAAAATTCAAAGTGGAAAGCCAAAGAAATATAAGAGGGGCCTGGGGATGTGACTAACGAACAGAGAACTTGTTATTTTAGTGCCAGGAATGTCTTTCTTGATTATTCTGGACCCTATTCGGAAATTGGCATCTTTTGAAATTTGTGTGAAATTGGCAAAATTGCTAAATTCTGACCACTTTATTGGATAGTTGAAATTGGTAAATGGATGGTTTCTTATACTCATTCGATAGAAAAAATGGAGTTCTAGTGAAATAGTTATGATTTTTGTCGACTAGTACATTGGAATTGGCCAAAAATAGGGCTCAAAGTGGGCAAAATCGCCAATGCGTAAACATTGTCGAGACCACTAACTTCGCGAGAGCATAATTCCGTAAGTTTTCCATCAAATTTCATACTTTTGGTGTCATTATGATTGGGAAAAGATTCTCTATCTTTTCATAAGAAAAATTTTTTTTTTTTTTTTAAATTTGGCCTGTCAACCCTCAAAGGGTTAATTGTTAAAGTATTTATTTTGCTTTAAAATTTTTATTTGCTAATTATGATACTGTTGGAGTCATAAAGCACCTGGGGTGGAGGTACTTAGGTTTGATTCAAGGAAAGGGAGGGTGCCTTGAATTCCTTGGATAAAGAGACATTCACCACATCAAAAGTTTGTCTGTTATCTGTTTAACACTAATATTACATTGCCAAGCTATTGTGGTAGATTAAGCAAACCATATCAAGAAGCTTTCAGAGGTTTCCCAACATTCATTGTCACTGCCTTGACCAGCAGTGAATCAAAATTGAACCACAGCCTCCATTTCTTTAGGTTTTTACCACTCATTTTAGAAATGTAATTTATTATGATTTTTATGAGGGTTTTAGGTATTTTATTTGATTTAGATGGAAGTTATCTTCTTAATGTTTAGAAAATTTTATTTTCTTTTGTTAGCCTTTTTGTTCTATCATTCACTAAACTTGACTAAATTAGGAGAACAAATATACAATATTCTTTGTTTCTGTTATCATCCATTTGTATGTATACCTCATTTATTTTAACCCTTAAACGGTCCAAACGTATATATACGTTCACACACGTAGTGCCCCAAACGTATATATACGTTTCCTTTGTCATTCATTCAACATTGCCACAATAAGCCTGAGTCACCTAGACATGAGAGAATGGGTGTGTGCACTCACTGTGTTCCATATTAAAATAATTGGGGATGCCTGGGTACCATATGCTTTTTTTTCCTTTTAAAAGAAAAGATTTCTTTTTTCCTCAAAAAATTTGGGGCGCTACACGAGTGAACGTATATATACGTTTGGACCGTTTAAGGGTTAAGACACTGGCCATCACCCTACCTCAGTGAAGGATGGTATAAATTCACAAATGAAAAACTAACTTTTATTTGGACAGCATTTCTCTCATGGTTGAGCTTCATAATATCATAAAGAGGATAGTTTTTATAAACACTTTCTTTTTTTTTTTTTTTTTTTTTTTAATATCATCCATTTCCCACTGAGGCAGGGTGACTCAAAAAAAGAAAAAGAAAACCCCAAAAAGAAAAAGAAAAAAACTTTCATCATCATTCAACACTTCTCAATATCCCAAATCCCTCCCATTTCCAGGACTCAGGTCTGGCTAACCAGTTTTCCTGAATTCTTTCACAAAATATTACCCTGCTCACACTCCAACAGTTTGTCAAATCCCTAAAACCATTTGTCTCCATTCACTCCTATCTAACATGCTCACACATGCCTGCTACATGTCCAGGCCCCTTGCACACAAAACCTCTTCTATCCTCTCCCTCCATCCTTTCCCAGGAAGACCCCTACCCCTCCTCCCCTCCACTACAGATTTATACACCCTCCAAGTCATTTTATTTTGCTCCATTCTCTCTAAGTGACCAAACCATCTCAGTAACCCCTCTTGAGCCCTCTGAATAATACTTTTTGCAACTCCACACCTCCTCCTAATTTCCACACAACAAATTCTGTTCTTCTATCCTCTTATTAAATAAGAAGTTTGGCATTACACAAATAACCTGGATATAGGAGAATGAGACTCATGACGATGTTTCAGTCCGACTTGGGCCATGAACTAGTCACACCAGTCAAACCGAAACTTCAACATAAGTTTCATTCTCCTGTGTGAGGGTTATTTGTGTATTGTTCCAATTATAATATTGTACCTTTTTATTCTTAAGTTTAGCATCCAGCCGTGCCATAAGGTGTTCATGTTTGTCCTTGTAAAGGTTGCAGGCATGGTTTGTGCTGTGTCCTACAATCGTGCTGGTGTTCCCAAATTCTGGTGTGTTTTGCCTATGTGTCTTCTATGTATTGTTTATGATGTAATAAATAATAGTTGGGAAAAAATCACAGGACATAGACACCAGAATTAGGGAACACTATTACACTTGTACGATTCATAATACAAGTAATGCAGGCATCATCATCAAGACAAACATGCAGATCTTATGGCATGGAAACATACCTAACTTATTATTGAAGAAAGAGACAGATCCCAACAATGAGTCCTTGAATCAGCAATCATTGGCACAACAGACACTAATGAACAGAAGCAGGATGCTTTTAGCATATTGAAATGCTTGGCACACATTATCCTACATGGAATGTATCTGTTCCCTAATCCAACAACAGTTCAAATTTAAATAATGGATCACTGGGCCAACTGTTGTGCTCAGTTACCCACATCATCAGCACCTGGCATTCAATTCTTTACTTATTTTTATCTCACTCTGTGAATACATTTTTTTTTTAACGAGTCGGCCGTCTCCCACTGTGGCAGGGTGACCCAAAAAGAAAGAAAATCCCCAAAAAGAAAATACTTTCATCATCATTCATCACTTTCACGTCATTCACACATAATCACTGTTTTTGCAGAGGTGCTCAGAATACAACAGTTTAGAAGCATATACGTATAAAAATACACAAACATATCCCTCCAAACTGCCAATATCCCAAACCCCTCCTTTAAAGTGCAAACATTGTACTTCCCATTTCCAGGACTCAAGTATGGCTATATAAAAATAACCGGTTTCCCTGAATCCCTTTACTAAATATTTCCCTGCTCACACTCCAACAGCTCGTCAGGTCCCAAATACCATTTGTCTCCATTCACTCCTATCTAACACGCTCACGCACGCTTGCTGGAAGTCGAAACCCCTCGCCCACACAACCTTCTTTACCCCCTCCCTCCAACCTTTTCAAGGACGACTCCTACCCCGCCATCCTTCCCCTACAGATTTATACGCTCTCCATGTCATTCTACTTTGATCCATTCTCTCTAAATGACCAAACCACCTCAACAAACCCTCTTCAGCTCTGTGACTAATACTTTTATTAACTCCACACCTTCTCCTAATCTTCACACTCCGAATTTTCTGCATAATATTTACACCACACATTGCCCCTAGACAGGACATCTCCACTGCCTCCAACCGCCTCCTCGCTGCAGCATTTACAACCCAAGCTTCACACCCATATAACAGTGTTGGTAGTACTATACTTTCATACATTCCCTTCTTTGCCTCCATAAATAACATTTTTTGTCTCCACATATATCTCAACACACCACTCGCCTTTTTTCCTTCATCAATTCTACGATTAACCTCATCCTTCATAAATCCATCCGCTGACACGTCAACTCCCAAATATCTAAAAACATTCACTTCTTCCATACTCCTCCTCCCCAATTTGATATCCAATTTTTCTTTATCTAAATCATTTGATACTCTCATCACCTTACTCTTTTCTATGTTCACTTTCAACTTTCTACCTTTACACACACTCCCAAACTCATCCACTAACCTTTGCAATTTTTCTTTAGAATCTCCCATAAGCACAGTATCATCAGCAAACAGTAACTGTGTCAATTCCCATTTTGTATTTGATTCCCCATAATTTAATCCCACCAAGGTAGAGTAACCCAAAAAAAGAGGGAACATCTTCACTGCCACTAATTCAATTACTCTCTTGCCAGAAGCATGCTGATGTCAAAGTCCAGATGGCCCTCCCAACTGCAACATTCTTACCTTTCCTCCAGAGTGCAAGCATGGTACTTTCCACATCCAGGACTCAAGTCTAGCTAACCAGTTTCTCCAAATCTTTTCATAAATGTAACCTTGCTCATCCTTCAACAACACATCAAATCATTAAAGCCATTTGCCTCCACTTACTGTTATCCAATGCACTCACTCAAGCATGTTGGATGTCCTGTTCACTAGCACCCAAAGCCTCTTTCACCCCTACTCCCATCAGTCAATCATGGGATGGCCCCTACCCCTCCTTCCACCCAAGATTTATACACCACCTAGTCATCCTGTTTTGCTCCATTCTCTCTAAATATGTATGAAAAGTATCCTCTCTTTGATTGTTAAAGTTCAACCCTGAGTGATACATAGTCCCAGTAATGGCTTGTTTTGCATATTGTATCTTCATATTCATACCTGCTGGCATTATTCCTCTGCAGTATACTGCATTTTTTGTTTACCTGCTTCATGAGGTATACTTTTTTTTTTTCGACAAACCAGCTGTATCCCACCAAGGCAGGGTGGCCCAAAAAGAAAAACAAAGGTTTCTCTTTTTAAATTTAGTAATTTATACAGGAGAAGGGGTTACTAGCCCCTTGCTCCTGGCATTTTAGTCACCTCTTACAACACGCATAGCTTACAGAGGAAGAATTCTGTTCCACTTCCCCATGGAGATAAGAGGAAATAAACAAGAACAAGAACTAGTAAGATAGAAGAAAACCCAGAGGGGTGTGTATATATATATATGCTTGTACATGAATGTATAGTGTGACCTAAGTGTAAGTAGAAGTAGCAAGACGTACCTGAAACCTTGCATGTTTATGAGACAAAAAATGGACACCAGCAATCCTACCATCATGTAAAACAATTACAGGCTTTCGTTTTACACTCACTTGGCAGGACGGTAGTACCTTCCTGGGCGGTTGCTGTCTACCAACCTACTACCTAGGATGAGGTATACATGGAAATATTTTTTGTCAGTGTTAAGGTGTGTATGAAGTAACTGGGAAACCCTGAAAATAGGAATTACATTCTAAATTGGCTTTGCCTCTTATTCTCAATGAGCAACTCATTTTTAAAACTTATTTTGGGAGAGATGGAATTTTTTTAGAGCTACAGCTTTGGATATACATTGTGAAGATCATATGTGACACTAAATATTGCAACATTTATTATACAACAGAAAAGTTTCTTGAAGCTGCTAAACAACAGAAGCTAACCAGAATGGTTCAGAAGAAGAAAGGACATAAACTTAACTTAGCTGATGATGAAGAAAGGCAGATTATGAAGCAGGTGAAGGTTTCATCTCGCATAGCCAAAAAGGCTAGCAGACTTCAACGTCTTAATTCAGTGCAAGGAAACATTCATGTTGTACCCAGATGTAAGTATTAGTTTAGTCAGCCTTCTATCTCTGAATCACTATTTTTAACTCAGGAAAGCTTGTTCGAAATATTTTTATTTATGTAACTCTTGAAAGTATGCATTGTTTTCATTGCATGTGAAAGTTAAAAAATTCACATGGCAATTAAGAATTCTTTATCACACAAATCACCTGATTGTGTACTGTATCTGTAATCCTACCGACATTTCTTGGGAGTTGATGAATATGGGATAAATAAAAAATATCTAACATCTGGTATGTCTACTCTTGATCCAGAGAATTAAAACTACCCTCCTATTCCTTGGATCAAACCTTATTGCCTTCTTTTTTTCCCAGGCACTGTACAACCCACATGGATTTAGCATTTTCTCATGAATGTAATTAATACATTTGAGCAAATAATATAAAGGCACTGAAGGGTAGGTGAAGCAGTGTGCAAAAGTGTTTGCTTTTTCTGCAAAGAATCAGTAAATATTTGAGAAAATTTGAAGGAAATGAATTGCATTTGTAGAAAATTGTCCCTTGTGTTAGAAATTTCAATGGCAGGTGCAGTGGCAGATCTACATTTTTTGGGGCCCTGAAGCCTGAACTGTTATGGGGGCCCCTTTTCAACCAGCAATGGATAGCTTACATGATGCTTTAATAACCTTGAGGACCCCTCTGAGATTAAGAGCCCTGAAGCTTAAGCTTCATTAGTTTCATAGTAGATTCACTCCTGGACAGGTGTCATTACTGTGTTAACATTACTCGCTTGTGTGTAGATCTACGTTTGAGATCTCGGCTCCCTTGGATAAGCTGTGAGTGGGAAATTTTGGCCTAGACATTAGAGAATAGATCTGTATGGTGAGTGGGCACAATATAGAAAATCTTGCCTCATGGTATGCATGGTAAGAAAAGCAAAACTCTGACCTTGTGTTTAGTTTAAAATAGTGACCTTGAAGTGTTTTCTTGGATGGTTATTTTATGGTTTTATTGAATTTCTTGGTATCATAAAATTGAATGACAGATACACTACTGAAAAGGAGATGATCTTGGATGGTTTCTGGACTAAGTAGTTTGAAATTGGGCTCAAAGTAGTGGAAATATTAAATTTATTACTATTTTGCTGAAGATAGGTAAGGCTTCCCTACATCCTCCGGTTTATTTTGTGGGCTTTTACTAGGTATGATTCAATTATGGGGATGCTGTAAACCATGACCAAGCATTCCTGGTTATATATTATTACCCAAGAAATAAGGTGAATCTTTTAAATTTTATGGTGATGAATTCAAAATGGAGGGCCAGTGTAATATAGGAGAGGCCTGAGGATGTGATTAATGAACATGGGAAATGTTGCTTTAAAATGCCTGGAATGTCTATAGTGTCTATTTTGGACTCTGTTTTTAAATTGTAATTTGTTAATTGTGTAAAATTGGCCAAATTACTGACTTCTGTACACTTCATAAGGCAGTTCTGTTAGATGAATGGGTAGTGTCTTGTGCTTAATTGGCATAATGGAGGGCAGACTATCAAAATAGCTAAGAATTTGGTTGGATTGAGCAGTGGAATTTGCTTAAACTGGGACTCAAAGTAAGCAAAATCACCAAGCATAAATTATGCCCAAACAGTATATTTTGTGCCTGTGCAATTCTGTAAGTTTTCCATCAAATTTCGTATTTTTGGTGTCATTACTTTCAGAAAATAATTCTCTGCCATTTCAGAAGAATTTTTTTTTTTTTTAATTTTGACACTGTGAGCACTTTATTTCAAGGGTTCTGACAGTGAAGAGTTGATATGAATTTTTAGGAATTAATAATATTACAAGTGAAAAGATTTGATTTTTTATATTTTCCTTTACAGATATGGAGAAGCCCAAGAAAACTTCATCTAAATCTTCATTTGATCAAGAGCTAACTAGAACAGACAGAAAATCTATAAAGAAATTCCGACATGGGCCATCATTCCAAGAACGAAAAGAAGCATTCCAATTAAAAAATCCAGGAAAGAAGTTCAGAGCTAAACAAAGGAAATAGAAAGAAGAGATTGGTATGGAAGTAATGTCTACTGGGATAAAATCTACATCACACATTCTTAGGAAGAAAATTTTTTAGTGACAAAAACAAACATATGCAGTGTATACATTTTTTTTTTTTTTCATCAACAACCTTCTCCAACCAAGACAAGGTAACCTAGAAGAGGAAACACATTTACCATAGTACATTCAATCTCTCTAACCAGAAGCATGCTGACATTACAGTACAGATTACCCTGTGACTACAACATCCCCACATGTCCTTAGTGCAGGCATTGCCCTTCCCACCCCTAGGACACGGGTCCTTTATCCTCTACCTGGAGGTTACCTGGAGGTTATTCCGGGGATCAACGCCCCCGCGGCCCGGTCCATGACCAGGCCTCCCCATTATTTTTTATATACATACAGGAAGGTGCTGCTTATACAGCAGGTTAGGTTTTGGCCTGCTGCTGTACAGTGAATTATAGCCTTTTTTCACTTTCAAATACATATAAAAGCCTGATAACATGTTTACACTATCATATTAAGTGAGCAGTATAGCTAGGCCTAAAAAATACATATACAGTACACACACTACTTAAAATATATTTTCATCCTTAGCTTATAGTGAGTTGTGAATATATTTATTGTAGGAAGTCTAAGTAAATGAGTAAATGTATTGCATATATATACACTCCCAGTATACACACACATACATGCATGCATGTGCATCCTTTGCCCACTCACTATGCCTGGGATAACCCCTACCCGTCCTTCCTTCCTTCCTTCCTTCCTTCCTTCCTTCCTTCCTTCCTTCCTTCCTTCCTTCCTTCCTTCCTTCCTTCCTTCCTTCCTTCCTTCCTTCCTTCCACCCAGACTTACACACCCACTTTGTCATGTACCTTCTCTACATGTCCAAACTGCCTCAAATTCTCCTCCCTCAGCCTTCATAATAATAACCCTTGTTGACCTCATACCAAACTTTAATTTCTACCTTCTGAATTCCATGTATAATGTTCACACCACACACTGCTGTAAAACATAAGAATTCTACTGCTTACAGCTTCCTCCTCCTTTGCTGCAGTATTTAAAACCCCCTTCCTCCCTTATGCCCACATAAACCTGTTGGTACCACTATACTCTGGTATGTTTCCTCTTTGCCTCCATAAATAAATTTGTTTCCATAGATGCTTCAACACACTACCATTCTTTCCCCCTCATCTGTACTGTGGTTCACTTTGTCTTTCATAGACCCCCACTTGCAGACATGTTCACTCCTAAATATCTGAATACATTCACTTCCTCCATACTCCTTCACTCCAGTCTGACATCCAATTTTCTGGGTTTTTTTTTCAATGCATCACTCATCTCCCATTAAGGCAGGGTGACCTATAAAGAAAAATGAAAGTTTTTCTTTTTCTTCTTTCAATAAATCAGCCATATCCCACTGAGCCAGGGTGGCCCAAAAGAAAAAACAAAAGTTTCTCCTTTTAAATTTAGTAATATAGACAGGAGAAGGGGTTACTAGCCTCTTGCTCCCAGGATTTTAGTTGCCCCCCTTATGACACACATGGCTAATGGAAGAAGAATTCTTTTCCACTTCTCCATGGAGATGTATATTATATATGTACAGTAACAATTAAGGCCATGGTTACAAAAATTAAAAAAGTATATAAATAACATGTTTGTTTGCAATTTTATGGATTTTTTGTGCATAGCCTGCTCATGATTCATCACTGTGATCCTTACAGGTTTCACGCTTAATTTTATTACTATAATAACCAATTTTAAGAAGTTGATTGGTCTTGCAGTGGCATACAAGAGTATTACAAACTTTACTATAAACATAATGGACTCATGTGGTATTGTTTAGGTTTAATATGTTTATTTCCAGTAATATAATTTAAACCTAATAAAGATTTACTTAAACCTTAGGTGAATAGACAATAGTACAGATAAATTTGCCCAACATTTTTATATAATGTACATACCTGTTTGTTGTTATTATATTTAGGGGAAACTCTAAACCTGCAGGGGTCATATAGCCCTTGGGGAGCTAAATGACCATCTTAGGAAATGGAGAACAAGTCCAGTCCTTGGATGAAGTTTTCCTAACCTGCTTTGATGTGACTGGTATCATCTGTCCAGCCTACATTCTCTACTTCACACAATTACCAGATTACATTCTACTTTATACCCTGATAAAATACAAAGAAATTTAACTATGAAAAAAATTACGCATTAATGTCCTGGGTTCGAATCGGTGAACTCCAATAAAGAAAATGTATGTCCCTGGTTAAATTGCTGGGCCATCAGAGGTCATAACCATGTGCTTGTCCTCCCCAATCTCACATCCTCCATCCCCAGTTGTCCTACATTTGACCTAATATTAATATTTCCTACCTCTTCAAGGGGGGCTCCTTGGCGTGGTGAAGAGGCTCTTGGTCTCAGGAATTAGACCTATCGGTCTTCTTCCTCAGACCGAACCTAATTACCCCCCAATCTCCCCTGCCCTATCCCATCCTCCCCTTTTTCCTTTCCTCCTCCCCCTCCCCACCCCTCCCTTTTGCCCTTCCTCTTTTTGTCCTTTGGGATTTCTCCCACAGGCGCGCTAGTTCCTAGGTGGAGGAAAGGATACCGGGGTCCATCCCATTCCGTTGAGCTTCTTAGCGGTGGCGTAGTTTGCCGTGGAATCTGGATCGCCTGGGGATGTCCCGATCCCTCTCCGGTATCCCGGAGTAGCTTTGGGTGTCTTTCGGGCGACGAGTGTATTCTGGAAGCCACCTTTCGGATTCCGGGGGTGGTGGCCGAAGGAGGTATGCTTTGTGGCGGATATCCGGCCGCCCTCTCTTTTGTCCACCGAGGTAGCTCGGCAGATGTGGGGTTGTTTATCCGGATTGTTAGTTTACTAGCATGATGGGTGGGGTATGGCACGGGTTCCATGCTCATCTGCAGTACTTGCGGTGCTGAGGTCCTCTTGGGCGCAGGGGGGAATTTCTGGCCCTTTCATTCCTCCTAGGACCTATCCCTCCCCGTCCCCCTTTTTTTTTCTTTTTTTTATTTTTATTTTTTTTTTCTTCTTTCTTTTTTTTTCTTAAAAACAAAAAGAAAGAAGTAACCAAACCCATGGCACCCCTAGTCCATGAACCGGGTACCCCCGGGCCCCTTCTTGATACCGCACCCCGTTCTGACCCTGCCTCGTCTTTGGACCACTCTTCAGACATTCCTCATGCCTCTGTACCTATTGCCGGTGCTGTTTCCTCACCCGCTTCAGGTGCTGAGGCCTCGACTGACTCCTTTGATTTATCGGACCTTCGCTCTCCTCTGACTATGCTTCCGGCCTCTCCCTCTACGGTGGCGGCAATTTTCAAATCGCCGACCCGTTCCACGTCGGACCACTGTGGTCCCATGCCTAAACGCCAACGACAATTACCTGCTGATGATACTTCTCCACCTTTTTCCCTTCTTCTCAGAAACGATCGACACGTCCTTCACTACCTTTCCACGCTCAGTTTCAGACTGAACAGTGGACTAAATTCTTCACTTTAAAGACCACTTCCTCTACTGCCTATCTTTCTGACCAAAAGTATTGGCAAGGCAAACCCCACGCCATGTTGGTAAAGAATTTCTTTTCATGCTCTTAAGAGCGGTACGCGCATCATTACCGTACAGGGAAAGCTTCCCAGGCTCTGAGCTCTCTCGTCTTTCCCATATCGATACTGTTCCTGTCACTCTTGAAAAACATCTTCCCTCAATTCTTGTAGTGGTACCGTCATTCTGCCCCATACCATAGTTCAACGAAATTTCCCCGACATGTGGCACTGACATTCTAGAACAGCTGGAACTCCAAGATCTCCCAATCCTCAAGGTAGACACTTATGTTCTTCCTGCCCGTGGGCGGAGACGATAAACCCCAGCAATGTGGCTCGTTTAACTTTGACAGCCGAGAACTCCCATCCTCAGTTTATATAGCAGGACACGGTTACAAGTTCGAAAGGTGATCCCTACACCACAACAGTGTAGAAATTGCTGGCGATTTGGGGCCCTCCAGCGAAATATTGCAGATCTATTGCCGAATGCCCAGTCTGTGGTCCGATGACCATTCTAATACGTCTTGCAAAACGATCTCCCTCTTGCCTTAACTGTCATGAGGCTCACCCTTCGTACTCTCGCCGTTTTCAGGTCTATTTAAACGAGCGGGAAATCCGTTTCCTCAAAGAGACAGAAGGTCCCCCCCTTATGCCATGGCAGTTTCTCTCTCCGCCTCCAAGGAGACCCCCCACGTGTTTCTTATTCCCGTGTTTCAAAACGTCCCCCCACTTCTGGTATCCCATCTTCTACACCCACCTCTGTGGTTACCTCTCCCATAATCACTCCTGTATCTAAACCTTTTTGCTGTCCCCCGGCTCAGACGTCCCTACTTCAACGCCCCATCTTTAAACTCGCCCTTTTTTGAGTTCTCTCTCACAAGCCTCAGTATCGACGAGACCTCATACGACACCTCCTCCCAATCGTCCCTCTACTTCTCAAAGTCAAAAAAAGGTCCGGTAACACCTCCTACCCCATCTTCCACCTCCTCCATTTTACCCTCCCTGTCTCTGTCCCTATTCTTCCCCTCTCAGTTACAAGTGCAGAGGTTCACCCTCCTCCTCGTAATGTACCTTCCTCCCCTGTTCCCTCCCAAGTTTTTTTCCCTTCTGCCACCTCCCAGGTTCCTGCCTCCTCTGTCCCCTGCCACGCTTCCCAGTTCCCTCCACCCTTTCGCCCCCCCCTACCTTGGTACAGTCCAATACAGTTCCAATCTTTTTTCATCCTCCCCCTACCATTCCCAATATTGTCTCCCATACGACATCTCTGAATTCCGAAACACTTGAAGCAATCTCTGAATATATTGCAGAGACCAAACCATCAATGGACACTGATCCACCTTCCGCTCTTTCCTCTCCTCTGCTCCATCTGCGCACTCCTTTCTTCACAGCGCACCGTTCCTTCGCTGCTTGAACTTTTTTCCACTGCCCCCGCATGTGGACTTTTCAAACCCCTTCTGTCCGTGGGAAAACCTTTACCTGCGGATTTCAATATCTTTATCATTCCCAAAATCATGGCCTATTTACATGGAATTTAACGCCCCGGGGGTTAATCGGGGTGACTTCAGATGTTACTCTCCCATTTGCCCCTGTTGGTGTTTGCTTCGGGAAACCCAAAATTTACACCCCTTTTTTTTTTCTCACATCTCAGGCTATAATTTATTGTTTTCTTCAGACCTTTTCCTGTTTGGGGACCTTTAATAAAAGTGCCCTTCTTCCCCGCACTGATATTCCGTCCCACAGCTTTTTGTTAAATCTTCGCTGCTTACACAGCACCCCGTACCCACTTACATAGGGGTTACCTTGTTCTTTATATCTTCCCTTCTGGGGCATTACTATTCCGGATTTTGCCTTCCTTTTTCGTCTTACCGCCACCGATTCTGTTACTTGGTGTTTTTAATGCCACCTTTCCTTGGGGGGGGTTCACTGTGATTCCCGGGGGAATTCAGTTAAGGCTTTTTTTGCCCCCCACCCCCCCCATGTTTTAAAACGGGTCTCACACCCATTTTGACCCCTCGGACTCATACTCTCTCTTGCATGATCTCTAAATCTGCCTTCCTCCCCGCATTGACTTCATTTGGGTTTGTTTCCCGGATTACATGACAGTGATCATTCCCAAATCATTCTTATTTCCCCCTTATATTCGCCACCTCTTCGCACCCACGCTGGCAGTTTTAAAACGGGCAAATTGGGAAACCCTTTTCTCCACCTAACTGTTTTTAAAAAGGTTTCCCCTTCGTCCCCCATCGATGAGCTTTTAACCCTCTTCTCGTCCCCCGTTTTCACTGCCCGCTTCTCATTTATACCCCAAACTTTTGGGCAGGCATTCTCAGAAATGCGTGCTTGGTGGTTCCCTTGTGCCGTGCAGTCGTTTGAAAAGCGCTGCATGGGGCAGGTCCCGGGACAATAGAACCACAAGCAACCCTTGATTTTAAACAGAAGCGTGCGATTTTCTCGCCGTGCACCGTGAGCTAAACGCACTTGCTGGCAGATTTTGTCTCTAACCACACCTCTGTTCCTCTATAGTCAGCCGGAAAAAAGTACGAAAACTGAGTGGTAAATATTTTCCCCGACCCGGCTCCCGTTCTGCGGGTTGCCGGTGTTTTAAAAGCAAACCCACTAAGTTTCCAATGAAATTGGGAATCATCTGGTCCGTATTTTTCAGGGACTCCATCTAGCCCCTCATTTCTTTCCTCAAAGTTTGCCAGAGAGTTAGCACCCTTGGACTTTTTTCTCTAGAAAGAAAGTATAATTTGCCTTTTACACTTCAAAAACTGGAGGGAACCCCCTTTAGCTTGTCGTCATCGGCAGCCTGGGGCCCCAGACATTTATAACGTATGCACAACATTTACATCAGTCAGCCCTTTCAGTCCATTACGCCTTTACAATCTTTTTTTGGGCACAAGGAGTTCTTCCACAGCTGTGGAAAAACCCCATTTTTCTCCCTTTTTCCCCAAACCCCGGCACACGGGGCATGAAACCCCCCACTATCGTCCCCCTTGCTCTTACCAGTGCAGTTTGCAAAGTAAGGAACGCCTAGTAAATAGACGTTTTTGTGGTTTTAGAGACCAAACAGTCTCTCCCCTCGTCAAT